GGTGCAATGGGGGGGTCAATGGGCTCTATGGGGTCTATGGGTCTCTATGGGGCTCTATGGGGTCTATGGGGCCCTATGGGCTCTATGGGCTCTATGGGGCTCTATGGGGCTCTATGGGGTCTATGGGGTCTATGGGGCTCTATGGGTCTCTATGGGGCTCTATGGGGCTCTATGGGGTCTATGGGGTCTATGGGGCTCTATGGGGCTCTATGGGGCTCTATGGGTCTCTATGGGGTCTCTATGGGGCTCTATGGGGCTCTATGGGGCTCTATGGGGTCTATGGGGCTCTATGGGGCTCTATGGGGCTCTATGGGCTCTATGGGGCTCTATGGGGCTCTATGGGGCTCTATGGGGCTCTATGGGGCTCTATGGGGCTCTATGGGGCTCTATGGGGCTCTATGGGGCTCTATGGGCTCTATGGGGCTCTATGGGCTCTATGGGGCTCTATGGGGCTCTATGGGGCTCTATGGGGCTCTATGGGTCTCTATGGGCTCTATGGGGCTCTATGGGCCTCTATGGGGTCTATGGGTCAATGGGGGTCGGTACCGGGGCCGAGCAGGAGGAGGAGGAGGCCGAAGGCTCCGGGGGCTCCGTTGGGCGCCATGGCCGGGAGGGGGGAGGGGAACAGCTGAGGGGGGGAGGGGCGACACCACCTGCTCCGGATGTGGGGGAGGGGCGGGGACAGCCCCCTCCCCTCCCCCCCACGTGACTTGGAATGGTCCAGCCCTGCCCCCCCCCCCATTGAGCCCCATAAGTGCCCCATGGAGACTCATAAATGCCCCATTGACAGCCATTACTGCCCCATTGTGAACCATAACTGCCCCATTGAGCCCCATAACTGCCCCATGGAGACCCAAAAATGCCCCATTGACAGCCATTACTGCCCCATTGTGAACCATAACTGCCCCATTGAGCCCCATAACTGCCCCATCGAGACCCATAACGGCCCCATTGAGACCCAAAACTGCCCCTTTGTGACCCATAACGGCCCCATTGAGACCCATAACTGCCCCTTTGTGACCCATAACAGCCTCTTTAAGAACCATAAGGGCCCCATTGAGCCCTATAACTGCCCCATTGAGACCCATAACTGCCCCATGGAGACCCATAAGTACCCCATTGAGCCCAATAACTGCCCCATTGAGCCCCATAACTGCCCCATTGAGCCCCATAACTGCCCCATGGAGACCCATAAGTGCCCCATTGAGCCCCATAACTGCACCATTGAGCCCAATAACTGCCCCATTGAGACCCATAACTCCCCCATCGAGACCCGTAACTGCCCCATTGAGCCCCATAACTGCTCCACTGAGCCCCATAACTGCCCCATTGAGCCCCATAACTGCCCCATTGAGCCCCATAACTGCCCCATTGAGCCCCATAAGTGCCCCATTGAGCCCCATAACTGCCCCATTGTGACCCATAACTGCACCATTGAGCTCCATAACTGCCCCGTTGAGCCCCATAACTGCTCCACTGAGCCCCATAACTGCCCCATTGAGCCCCATAAGTGCCCCATTGAGCCCCTTAAGTGCCCCATTGAGCCCCATAACTGCCCCATTGAGCCCCATAAGTGCCCCATTGAGCCCCATAACTGCCCCATTGAGCCCCATAACTGCCCCATTGAGCCCCATAACCGCCCCATTGAGCCCCATAACTGCCCCATTGTGACCCATAACTGCCCCATTGAGCCCCATAACCGCCCCATTGAGCCCCATAACTGCCCCATTGTGACCCATAACTGCCCCATTGAGACCCATAACGGCCCCATTGAGCCCCATAACTGCCCCATTGTGACCCATAACCGCCCCATTGAGCCCCATAACTGCCCCATTGTGACCCATAACTGCCCCATTGAGCCCCATAACCGCCCCATTGAGCCCCATAACTGCCCCATTGTGACCCATAACTGCCCCATTGAGCCCCATAACCGCCCCATTGAGCCCCATAACTGCCCCATTGAGCCCCATAACTGCCCCATTGAGCCCCATAACCGCCCTCCCATTCGGTACAAACTGGTTTATTGAGGGGGGGGTTGGGGGGAAGGGCCCGGCCGGCGGGGGGGGAGGGGGGGGGGGGGCGTGGCCGCAGCCTCGCGAGGGGGCGTGGCCGGAAGGAGCTGACCAATCATGCGGGGGGGGGGGGGGGGGGGGCGGGGCCCCGCGCGGGGGGGGGGGGGGCGGGGCTTTTATTGCTCTCGGTGCGCGAGGGGGGGAGGGGCCTGCACAGTGTCGGGGTCATAGAAAAGGTCACGGGGGCGGGGCCAAGGGGGAGGGGGCGGGGCTTGTGGGGGGGGCTCGGGTCCCCACGTGCCCTATGGGGGGGGGGGGGATCAGTGCAGAGAGGTCATAGATGGGGTCAGAGGTCACATGATGGGGGGGGGGGGGGGTCAGAGGTCACAGTGGGGGTCAGAGGTCACCGATGGGCTCAGAGGTCACAGTTTGGGGTCGGAGGGCACAGATGTGAGCCAGAGGTCATGTGATGGGGGTCAAAAGGTCAGGGTGGGTGGGTAGAGGTCACAGTTCGGGGGTCAGAGGTCACGTGATGGAGGTCGGAGGTCACGTGATGGAGGTCAGAGGTCACAGGTCGGCTTGGAGGCTTCGGGGGGGGGCCCGGGGGGCTCCTCCACCTCGTGCAGGGAGGGCTCCCGGTACAGAGCCACTGCGGGGGGGGGGGTGAGGCCCTGCCCCATAGCCCTGCCCCATAGCCCTGCCCCATAGCCCTGCCCCACAGCCCTGCCCCATAGCCCTGCCCCATAGCCCTGCCCCATAGCCCAGCCCCACAGCCCTGCCCCATAGCCCAGCCCCATAGCCCAGCCCCATACCCCATAACCCCCACAGCCCTGCCCCATAGCCCTGCCCCACAGCCCTGCCCCATAGCCCTGCCCCATAGCCCTGCCCCATAGCCCAGCCCCATACCCCATAACCCCCACAGCCCTGCCCCATAGCCCCGCCCCACAGCCCTGCCCCATAGCCCTGCCCCATAGCCCTGCCCCACAGCCCTGCCCCATAGCCCAGCCCCATAGCCCTGCCCCACAGCCCTGCCCCATAGCCCAGCCCCATAGCTGAGTCCCAAAACTCTGCCCCATAGCCCAGCCCCATAACCCTTGACCCCCATACCCCATTCCCCCATACCCCAGCCCCATACCCCATTACCCCCCACAGCCCAGCCCCATACCCCAGCCCCATACCCCATTCCCATACCCCATTCCCCCCCATAGCCCAGCCCCATACCCCATTCCCCCCATACCCCAGCCCCATACCCCATTCCCCCCCATAGCCCAGCCCCATACCCCATTCCCCCCATACCCCAGCCCCATACCCCATTCCCCCCATAGCCCAGCCCCATACCCCATTCCCCCCATAGCCCAGCCCCATACCCCATTACCCCCCATACCCCAGCCCCATACCCCATTCCCCCCATAGCCCAGCCCCATACCCCATTCCCCCCATAGCCCATTCCCCCCTACCCCAGCCCCACAGCCCAGCCCCACAGCCCAGCCCCATAGCCCAGCCCCATACCCCATTCCCCCATAGCCCAGCCCCATACCCCATTACCCCCATAGCCCAGCCCCACAGCCCAGCCCCACAGCCCAGCCCCATAGCCCAGCCCCATACCCCATTCCCCCACAGCCCAGCCCCATACCCCATTCCCCCCTAGCCCAGCCCCACAGCCCAGCCCCACAGCCCAGCCCCACAGCCCAGCCCCATACCCCATTCCCCCATACCCCATTCCCCCCTAGCCCTGCCCCACAGCCCAGCCCCACAGCCCAGCCCCATAGCCCAGCCCCATAGCCCAGCCCCACAGCCCTGCCCCATAGCCCAGCCCCATACCCCATTCCCCCCACAGCCCAGCCCCATACCCCATTCCCCCCTAGCCCAGCCCCATACCCCATTCCCCCACAGCCCAGCCCCATACCCCATTCCCCCCTAGCCCAGCCCCACAGCCCAGCCCCACAGCCCAGCCCCACAGCCCAGCCCCTTACCCCATTCCCCCCTAGACCAGCCCCATAGCCCAGCCCCATAGCCCAGCCCCACAGCCCAGCCCCATAGCCCAGCCCCATACCCCATTCCCCCCACAGCCCAGCCCCATACCCCATTCCCCCCACAGCCCAGCCCCACAGCCCAGCCCCACAGCCCAGCCCCACAGCCCAGCCCCATAGCCCAGCCCCATACCCCATTCCCCCCACAGCCCAGCCCCATACCCCATTCCCCCCATAGCCCAGCCCCATACCCCATTCCCCCCACAGCCCAGCCCCATAGCCCATTCCCCCACAGCCCAGCCCCATACCCCAGCCCCATACCCCCTATTCCCCCATACCCCATTCCCCCATAGCCCAGCCCCATAGCCCAGCCCCACAGCCCAGCCCCACAGCCCAGCCCCACAGCCCAGCCCCATTCCCCCCGCTCACCCTCCAGCAGCTGGGGCAGGAAGTGCGCGGCGGCCTTGTCCTTGCGCACGCGGGGCCCCGCCATGGGGCGGCCGTGCCGGTCCAGCCCCAGGTACCAGGCGCGCCCCGAGCGGCGCTGCCGGTATAGGGCCGAGGCGTAGAGCACGTGGTAGCTCTCGAACACCCCCTCCTTGAAGCGGCACTCGGCCGTGAAGTGAACCTGGGGGGGGGCAGGGACCCACACTTGGGGGGCGGACCCATAGCGACCCCATAGAGACACCATGGGGACTCATAGGGACACATAGGGACACATAGGGACCCATAGCGACCCCATAGAGACACCATGGGGACTCATAGGGACACATAGGGACACATAGGGACCCATAGCGACCCCATAGAGACACCATGGGGATTCATAGGGACACATAGGGACACATAGGGACCCATAGCGACCCCATAGAGACACCATGGGGACTCATAGGGACACATAGGGACCCCATAGGGACACATAGGGACCCATAGAGACACCATGGGGACTCATAGGGACACATAGGGACCACATAGAGACACCATGGGGACTCATAGGGACACATAGGGACCACATAGGGACACATAGGGACCCATAGAGACACCATGGGGACTCATAGGGACACATAGGGACCACATAGAGACACCATGGGGAGTCATAGGGACACATAGGGACCATATAGGGACACATAGGGACCCATAGAGACACCATGGGGAGTCATAGGGACCCCATAGGGACACATAGGGACCACATAGGGACACATAGCAACCCTATAGAGACACCATGGGGACTCATAGGGAGACATAGGGACCACATAGGGACACATAGCAACCCCATAGAGACCCCAGAGGGACCCAAAGGGATCCCATAGGGACACATAGAGACCCCATAGGGACCCCATAGGGACCCCATAGAGACACATAGGAACCCATAGGCACACATAGGGACACATAGAGACCCCACAGAGACCCATAGAGACCCCATAGAGACCACATAGAGACCCAGGGACCACATAGAGACCCATAGAGACCCAGGGACCACATAGAGACCCATAGAGACCCCACAGGGACCTATAGGGAGAACCCATAAGGACCTATAGAGACCCATAGGGACCCATAGAGAAACATAGGGACACACAGAGACCACAGAGGGACCCCATAGAGGCCCAGAGCGACCCATAGGGACCCATAGGGACACATAGAGACCCATTGGGACCCATAGAGAACCATAGGGACCCATAGGGACCCATAGAGACCCATTGGGACCCAGAGGGAACCATTGGAGTGGGGGTAATGGGGATGCGCTGCTGGACCACTCAGTGATGTTGGATGGTGGATGTGGGTCCCAAAGGGGGGGATATGGGTCTGAAAGGGGGAGTTATGGGTCCCAAAGGGGGAGTTATGGGTCCCAAAGGAGGGGTTATGGGTCTGAAGGGGGCAGTTATGGGTCCCAAAGGAGGGGTTATGGGTCTGAAGGGGGCAGTTATGGGTCCCAGAGGAGGGGTTATGGGTCTGAAGGGGGCAGTTATGGGTCCCAGAGGAGGGGTTATGGGTCCCAAAGGAGGGGTTATGGGTCTGAAGGGGGCAGTTATGGGTCCCAAAGGGGGGGATATGGGTCTGAAGGGGGCAGTTATGGGTCCTAACGGGCTCCGTGGGTCGCTGTGGGTCGCTGTGGGTCACTCACGGAGCTGTAGACGAGCCCGGCCCCGTTCATGGCCACGTAGCGCCCGGCGCGCGCGCCCTGGATGGCGACGACGCGGAGCCCCACGGGGATGAGGTTGAACAGCGCTGGGGGGGGGGAGATGTGGGGCTGACCCACAAGTGACCCCCGAATGACCCCTATGCTCCCCAATACCCCCCCAGTGCCCCCAATACCCCCCCAGTGCCCCCCATTGACCCCAATGCCTCCCAGTGCCCTCCCTTCCCCACCCCTCAAGCCCCGCCCCTTCCATAGGCCACGCCCCCTTATTAAGACCCCCCCCAAGCCCCGCCCCTTCCCTGATGCCGACCACGCCCTCTCCCACAGGCCCGCCCCCCTCATTAAGCCCCGCCCCTTCCTCCACGCAGACCACGCCCCCTCCTCAAACCCCGCCCACGTTTTCCATAGACCACGCCTCCCACAGCCCTGCCCCTCCCCAGACCACTCCCCCCCCTCCGTAAGCCCCGCCCACGTTCCCTATAGGCCACGCCCCCTTCCCTGATTCCTCCCATGCCCATCCCTTTACCAGGCCCCGCCTCCTCTTTAAGCCCCGCCCACGTTCCATATTGCCCCCCCGCCCCTCATTAAGCCCCGCCCCTTCCTTCCCACAGACCACTCCCCCTCCGTAAGCCCCGCCCACCTTCCCTATAGGCCACGCCCCCTCCCCTGATTCCTCCCATGCCCAGCCCTCTACCGGGCCCCGCCTCCTCTTTAAGCCCCGCCCCTTCCTTCCCACAGACCACTCCCCCTCCTTAAGCCCCGCCCACGCTCCCTATAGGCCACGCCTCCCCCATTAAGCCCCGCCCCCTTTTCCCACGCAGACCACTCCCCCTCCTTAAGCCCCGCCCACGTTCCCTGTAGGCCACGCCTCCCCTTCCCACCCCCATTAAGCCCCGCCCGCTTTTCCCACGCAGACCACGCCCCCTCCTCAAACCCCGCCCCACGTTCCCTATAGACCACGCCCCCCCTCGCCAAGCCCCGCCCCCGCTCACTGCCTGGCCCCGCCTCCTCGCGCGTGCCCTCCAGCCTCCCGTCGGGCGCCATCTGCAGGAGGTGGCCGTGCCCCGAGCGCAGCCGCGCCACAGCGCCCCTCAGCGGCGGCTCTGACCCACAGCGACCCACACGTGGGGACCCACACACGGGGACCCACATCCCATAGGGACCCACACCCACAGCGCCCCTCAGCGGCGGCTCTGACCCACAGCGACCCACACGTGGGGACCCACACACAGGGACCCACACATGGGGACCCACATCCCATAGGGACCCACACACAGGGACCCACACCCCACAGCGACCCACACATGGGGACCCACACACAGGGACCCACACACAGGGACCCACATCCCATAGGGACCCACATCCCATAGGGACCCACACACAGGGACCCCCATCCCATAGGGACCTCCCATAGGGACCCACATCCCATAGGGACCCACACACAGGGACCCCCATAGGGACCCCATAGAGACCCCCCCATAGGGACCCCATAGAGACCCCCCCATAGGGACCCACACCCCATAGAGAACCCATAGGGAACCACACCCCATAGGGACCCCCCCATAGGAACCCTCACCCCATAGGGACCCCCCATAGAGACCCACACACAGGGACCCCCGCACCCCATAGGGACTCCCCCATAGGGACCCACATAGGGAACCCCCCAAGGAACCCCACAGGGACCCCCATAGGGACTCACACAGGGACCCCTCCCAAGGACCCCCATAGGGACCCCCCCACAGGGACCCCCATAGGGACTCACACAGGGACCCCTCCCAAGGACCCCCATAGGGACCCCCCCACAGGGACCCCCATAGGGACTCACACAGGGACCCCTCCCAAGGACCCCCATAGGGACCCCCCATAGGGACCACCATAGGAGCCCCACAAGGCCCCCCCCATCCCACATCCGCCCCATAGGACCCATCCGCACCCGTTCCCCCCCTATAGGACCCCCCATGGGATCTTCGCCCCCATTATAGCCCCATAGGACCCCACAGGAGCCTCCCCCCCCATCACCCCTATTGGACCCCCTCCCATCACCTCTCCCACCCCATAGGACCCCTCTGCACCCCTTTTCCCCTCTATAGGAGCCTCCCCATCACCCCCATATGGGATCTTGTCCCCCCCCCCTCCATGACCCCCCATAGGACCCCCATCCCATCACCCCTATGGGTCCCCCCCTCCATGACCCCCCATAGGACCCCCATCCCATGACCCCTATGGGACCCCCCATCCCATGACCCCTCCTCACCCCCCCATGACACTTCCCCCCCATCCCCCCCTCTATCGTAACTCCCTCCCCCATTGCCCCTCCCCCCATTGCCCCGCCCCTCCCCCCCCCCCCCCCCTCACCTGGGGTCCCCCCCCGGGCCCCCCCCCTGCGGCCGCAGCCCCGCACTTTGGCCACGAGCCCCCGGAGCTGCTGTTGGCAGAGGGAGGGGGGGCGGGGCGGGGGGCGGGGCATGGAGGGGGGGAGGGGCGCCCCCTCCGGACCCCCCCCCCCGCCCCCCCCGCGCCGCTGCTGCCGGATCAAGGAGCTGGCCAAGGCCGCCATGGCGGGGGGGGGAGGCGCAAAGGGAGGGGGTCAAGGGGGGGTCAAAGTGGGGGGAGGGGTTGGGGGGGGGGGTGTCAATGGGCTCGTGGGGGGAGGGGGGGTGGGGTGGGAATGGAGGGGGAGGGGTTCCCCGCGCGCCCCGCACGAGGGTGGAGGTGGGGGAGGGGGGGATGTGAATGAAGGGGGGGCAGGGTCGCTCCGTGCCCCTCCCCCCCCCGGGGGCCGCAGCAGTGGGGGGGGGGCCGCGCGCGCGAGGAAGAGGAGGAGGAGGAGGAGGAAGGGGGGGAGGGGTCGCGCGGCCGCCGGGTCTCGAGGCGTGAGGGGGGGGAAAGGGGGGAGGGGCCCGATGGGGGAGGAAAGGGAGGAGGTTGGCCCCTCCCCCACCCCGTCCGCGGCTGCGCGAGACGCCCGGCATGGACCAATGAGAGAGCAGAGCATCCCAGTGTGGACCAATGAGAGAGCAGAGCATCCCAGTGTGGACCAATGAGAGACCAGCACATCCCAGGCTGGACCGATGAGAGACCAGAGCATCCCAATGTGGACCAATGAGAGACCAGAGCATCCCAGTGTGGACCAATGGGAGACCAGAGCATCCCAATGTGGACCAATGAGAGAGCAGAGCATCCCAGTGTGGACCAATGAGAGAGCAGAGCATCCCAGTGTGGACCAGTGAGAGAGCAGAGCATCCCAGTGTGGACCAATGAGAGAGCAGAGCATCCCAGTGTGGACCAATGAGAGAGCAGAGCATCCCAGTGTGGACCGATGAGAGAGCAGAGCATCCCAGTGTGGACCAATGAGAGAGCAGAGCATCCCAGTGTGGACCAATGAGAGACCAGAGCATCCCAGTGTGCACCAATGAGAGAGCAGAGCATCCCAGTGTGGACCAATGAGAGACCAGCACTTCCCAGGCTGGACCAATGAGAGACCAGAGCATCCCAGTGTGGACCAATGAGAGACCAGAGCATCCCAGGCTGGACCAATGAGAGAATAGAGCATCCCAGTGTGGGACCAGTGCATCCCAGTTCAGTCCCCGTTTGCTTCCAGTGCAGCCCCGGTGCATTCCCAGTTTGCTTCCAGTGTGCTCCCAGCTCAGGCCCGGTGCAATCCCAGTTTGGTCCCAGTACGGTCCCAGTTTGCTCCCAGTAGTCACCCACAGTGATCCCAGTTTGCTCTCAGAGTGATCCCAGTCCAATCCCAGTTCAGCCCCAGTCCAATCCCAATTCAAATCCCAATTCATTCCCAATTCAATCACAGCTCAGTCTCAGTCTGTTCCCAATTTGATCCCAGTCCAATCCCAATTCAATCCCAGCTCATTCCCAATTCAATCCCAGTTCAGCCCCAGTCCGACCCCAATTCATTCCCAGTTTAATCCCAATTCATTCCCAGTCCAATCCCAGTCCAAACACTATTCATTCCCAGTCCAATCCCAGTTCAATCCCAGTTCAGCCCCAGGCCGACCCCAATTCGTTCTCAGTCCAATCCCAATTCATTCCCAATTCATTCCCAATTCATTCCCAGTTCAGCCCCAGTCCAACCCCAATTCATTCCCAGTTAAATCCCAATTCATTCCCAGTCCAATCCCAGTTCATTCCCTGTCCAATCCCAATTCATTCCCAGTTCAATCCCAGTTCATTCCCAGTTCAGCCCCAGTCCAACCCCAATTCATTCCCAGTTAAATCCCAATTCATTCCCAGTCCAATCCCAGTTCATTCCCAGTCCAATCCCAATTCAATCCCAGTTCAGTCCCAATTCATTCCCAGTTCAGCCCCAGTCCGACCCCAATTCATTCCCAGTCCAATCCCAATTCATTCCCAATTCAATCCCAGTTCAGCCCCAGGCCGAACCCAATTCGTTCCCAGTCCAATCCCAGTTCATTCCCACTCCGATCCCAATTCATTCCCAGTCCAATCCCAATTCAAATCCCAGTCCGATCCCAGTCCATTCCCACTCCGATCCCCGCCTCGGCCGCCAGGGGGCGCCGCAGTGCTGCGCCTCCTCCAATGGGAGCGCCGCGGTACCCAGCGCCGGGGGCGGAGCCCTCCCTGTTCCCATGGCAACCCGCGCCTCCCGCCGGAACAAACGCTTCCTCCTTTTGGGCGGTTTTTGGGGTTTGTTTTTTTTTTTTGGAACTCTTTTTTATATTTTTTTTTTCTTAAAAACACCCCCGGGGCCGCCCCTCCCCCCTCCCCCCCGCGAGGCCCCGCCCATCCCGAGGCCCCGCCCCCTCCCCCCCTCCCCCACGCGGCCCCCCGGGAATAAAAATAGATGCTCTTGGAGGGGGGGAGAAAAGGGAAAAGGGGGGGGGGAGGGGCTGCGTCGCCATGGGAACCGGTGACGTCACCGTAGCAAGGGGGGGGGGTGGGATGGGGTTGCCATGGCAACAGGCTAAGGATGGGGGGGGGGGAGATGTCCGGGGGGGGGGAGGGGGTTGGTTGTCCTGGCAACAGATTCAGGCCGAGGTCAAAGGTGAGGTCGCCATGGCAACGGGGATGGTGGTACCCACAGGCTCCCGGTCGCCGCGGTAACTGGTGATGGATGGGGGGGAGCCTCCCCCCCCCCATAGCAACCGGCTGATGAGGTCATCGCGTTGCCATGGCCACCGTCCCGTTGGTACCCCTGCCCCCCTTCCCATGGTTGCCATGGCAACCGGCCTATTTTGGGGGTGGGGGGGGTGGGGAAGTGATGCTCGAGGTCGCCCGGCCGCCATCTCACGCTCCCCATCCGCCATCTTGGGTGGCACCGGCGGCCATCTTGGCACGGGGGGGGGGGGGGGGGGGGCGGGGGGGGGGGGGATGGGGTGGGGGGGCCCCGTGACCCCCCCGGACCCCAAAACCGCTGCGTTTGGCACAAGTTTCTTTGTACAGAAAGCGCAAAAGAAAGAAAAGGGGGGGGGGAAGGGACACAAAGGGGGGGGGGGAAGAGCCAAGAGCCCCCTCCCCCATGGGTTAAAGGTCACAGTGGGGGGAGGGGACTCAGGGTGAGGGGGGGGTGTGGCATCGCCCCTCCCCCCCCCTTTGGGAGTCATTTTTTCCTTGTTTTCCCGGGTTTGAGGCATTTCGGGATCATGCAACAAGGGGGGAGGGGGGCACCCCAAAACCCCCCTATGGGGCTCCTCCTCCTTGCTTGTTCCATCCCCCCCCAACGATATGGGGGGACCCCCAAGCCTTGATATGTATGGGGGGGGGCACCCCAGTCGCTTGTCGTGCCCCCCCCCCCCAAGTATCTTTAGGGGACCCCTATTGTGGGGGGCTATTGTGTGTCCCCCCCCTTTAAGTCTTTAGGGGTCGCAGTGTCTGGATATGGGGGGTCGGGGGGGAGCCCCATCCCTCCTGTCCATATGGGGGGGTCCCCATCCCCATTATCCATATGGGGGCTACAGGGGGTTCCCCATCCCCATTGTCCATATGGGTGCTATGGGGGGGTCCCCATCCTCACTGTCCATATAGGGGGGGTTCCCCATCCCCATAGGGCTGGGCTATGGATGGCTGGGGGGGAGGGGTGGGGTTGGTTTTGGGGGGCGGCGGGGGTGGGGGATGTCAGAGCCCCACTATACGCGGGTGGTGGAGTGGGGATGGGGCAGGGCACTGTTATGGCCGGGGGGGAAGGGGGGTGCGAAGGGGTGCAGGTTGGGGAGCCCCCCCGGCACCATGGTGATGGTGTTGGGGGTGACGAGGGGCACGTCCTCGGGGGCTCTCCTCAGCGCCAAGGTATAGTCCGGGGGTCCCGGGGGGGGCTCCCCGCCCCCCATGCCAAGGAGCGGCCCCCCCCCCCTTTCGGGATGCTTCATCTGCAGCGACACCAACTCCTCCTCCATCCCCCCCCCGCCGCCGCCCCCGCCGTGCCCCAGGAGGTCATTGGGGGGGGGAGGGCCCCCCCCGACACCCCCGCCCCCCCTCATGGTGGTGGTGGTGGTTGTGGGGGGGGGGCTTAAACGCCGGGGGCACCCCCCGGGCCTTGCTTCCAACGGGGGCCTCTTGTCCCGCTTGTAATAGAGGGCGGCGAAGGCCAGGATGTTGAGGAAGAGGAGGGAGGCTCCGACGGCCACGGTGACGCTGAGCTCCGTGGAGTAATCCCGGGAATCCCCCGGGAACGGGGCGAAGCGGCGCCGGCCCCCCCCTGCCCCACCGTTGCTTTCTTCCTCCTCACCTCCCTCCTCGTCCTCCTCGTCGCCGTGGGGCGGCAGCGACGGGAGCGGCGGGCGCCGCGTGGCCGCGGGTGGGGGCCGCCGCGGCGGCGGGGGCAGGCGGGTGGTGGTGGAGGCGTGGGGCAGCTGGTGCAGGTTGTGCAGGTGGGGCACGAGCTCGAGCCAGAAGGCCACCTTGTTGGCGCGGTAGTGGTCGCGCACGCGGGGCTTGAGGCCGATGTGCAGGTAGCGCTTGTCCTTGCCGTCGAAGCGCGTCCACACGACCTCCTCGAAGCGGTTGGGTTTGGTGTGGATGAACTTGGTGTCCTGCGGGACCGGCTGGTTCGGGTCCCTGCACATGGAGTTGGGGGGGCAGGGAGATGGGGTTTGGGGGGGTTAGCGGGTATCAGGTATCGTCTGTCATCCAGCCGTCATCTGTTATCCATCATCCGTCCATCATCCGTCATCCATCCATCACCAGTTATCCATCATCCATCGTACATCACTCATCATCTATCATCCATCATCCATCCATCACCAGTTATCCATCATCCATCGTACATCACTCATCATCTATCATCCATCATCTGTCATCCATCATTCATCCATCATCCATCATCCATCCATCATCTGCCATCCATCATCCATCATCCATCCATCACCAGTTATCTATCATCCATCGTACATCACTCATCATCTATCATCCATCATCTGTCATCCATCATCCATCATCTATCCATCATCCATCCCCCATCCATCATCCATCCATCACCAGTTATCCATCTTCCATCGTCCATCATCTATAATCCATCCATCATCCATTATCTATCATCCGTTATCCATCATCCATCCATCACCAGATATCCATCATCCATCATACATCACTCATCATCTATCATCCATCATCCATCATTCATCCATCATCCATCATCCATCCATCCTCCATCCATCCATCATCCATCCATCCACCCATCATCCATCACCTACGATCCACCCATCATCCATCCATCCATCATCCACCCATCATCTATGACCCACCCATCATCCATCATCCATCCATCCACCCATCATCCATCACCTACGATCCACCCATCATCTATGATCCACCCATCATCCATCATCCATCCATCCACCCATCATCCATCACCTACGATCCACCCATCATCCATCCATCCATCCACCCAACCACCCACCCATCATCCATCCTCCATCCATCCATCATCCATCCATCCACCCATCATCCATCACCTACGATCCACCCATCATCCATCCACCCACCCAACCACCCATCCATCATGACCACGGGGAAGCCCCCCCCCATCCCCATCCCCCTGGGGGTGCCCCACGCACCCTGTCTTGGCGAAGTTGGTCCAGTAGGTCATGACGACGGCGCTGAGCATCACGTCGTTCTTGGAGAAGTTGCAGGGGAAGAGGTCGGTGGCGCCCACCATGGGCACCCCGAACACGTAGGGGATCTCGTCGCCGTGCGCCGCGTCGGCCCACTCGGGCCGGGCGTCCGTCTGGCAGTGGTGGTAGAAGGTGTAGAAGTAGACGGGCGACTGGTACTCGGCGTGGAGCTTGGCCGTGGCCACCGCCGGCGCCACCCATTGGTGGTCGGTGAAGAGCGCCAGCAGCGTCTTGCGGCGCATCTCGCCGTTGTCGCGGTCGGCCCAGTCCGTGTACATGAACTTGATGGTCTCCCGCAGGACGTCCTTGCCCTCGGGGTACCCGTAGAGGTTGTCCACGAAGTTGGAGACGGTGAAGTCGAAGTAGGAGGCCGAGATCCCGTCCTCGCTCTCCAAGGAGTCCTCCACGAACTTGAGGCCCTCGCCCTGGTTGACGCCGATGAGGATGTCGTAGTTGAGGAACTCGCCTTGCTGCATGAGGATCTCGGGGTCGTCCGGCACCACGTCGCCATCCACCACCGGCCCGAAGGCCACGTGGTAGCGCGCCGGCTGCACGTCCTGGTCCACCAGGGCGCGGAAGGGCTGGCGCCGCAGGCACTCGACGGCGGCGCCGGTGTCGGCGCGCTCGCAGCCCACCTTGGCCGCCAGCAGCCGCGTGTACTTGAGCGGTTGGTAGTTGACCGACCAGCTGGCGATGGCCGTGCCGCTCTGCGCGATGGCCTTCTGGAAGAGACCTGCGGGCAGCGGTGGGGAGAGGGGTTATGGAGGTCTATGGGATATGGGCATGGAGACCGATCATGGTCTATGGGATATGGGCATGGAGACCCATGGTGGTCTATGGGATATGGGCGTGGAGACCCATTGTGGTCTATGGGATATGGCCGTGGAGACCCATTGTGGTCTATGGGATATGGGATGGAGACCCATCATGGTCTATGGGATGTGGGCGTGGAGACCCATTGTGGTCTATGGGATATGGGCATGGAGACCCATGGTGGTCTATGGGATATGGGCATGGAGACCCATTGTGGTCTATGGGATATGGGCATGGAGACCCATGGTGGTCTATGGGATATGGGCATGGAGACCCATTGTGGTCTATGGGATACGGGCATGGAGACCCATCATGGTCTATGGGATATGGGCATGGAGACCCATTGTGGTCTATGGGATATGGGCATGGAGACCCATTGTGGTCTATGGAATATGGGCAGTGAGACCCATTGTGGTCTGTGGGACACGGGACGGAGACCCATCGTGGTCCATGGATGTGGGATGAAGGACCATCATGGTCTATGGGGCACAGGCACAGGGGATGGAGCCCCACCAGGGCTGCTGGGGACAGGGGAAGAGGGCCCCATGGCTGGCCTGTGCCAGGAGGGCTCACTTGGGGGGCAGGTGGGGGGGGGAGGAAGCGGCTCCGGTACCTTCCGAGTGGTGGGAGAGGATGAGGAGGCTGACGCAGGCGGCGCCGGCGCCGGAGCCGAAGATGGTGATGCGCTGTGGGTCGCCCCCAAAGTGCCCCACGTTCTCGTTGAGCCACCGCAGCGCCTGGATCTGGTCCAGGAGCCCGTAGTTGCCTTTGGCCGCCTGGTCCCCGGTGCTCAGGAAGCCTGGGGGCACAACGGGGACAATGGGGGGCAATGGGGGCAAGGGGGACACCTCCTGCCCCATGGACCACGTTCAGCAGTGCTGGCCCCATGGGCCCAAAGCCAGCCCATCAACATAAGGAGGGTCCCCATGGTGCCCCATTGACCCAAAGAGGTTCCCCATCATGGTAACCCCATGGTGCCCCATTGACCTTCCCATTGTGCCCTATTGACCCAATGATGTTCCTCATGGCCCCCATTGACCCAATGATATCCCCTATGGCCCCATTGACCCAATGATATCCCCCACGGCCCCCATTGACCCATTGACCTCCCCATTGACCCGTTGACCTCCCCATGGCCACCATTGACCCATTGACCTTCCCATGGCCCCCATTGGCTCCCTGAGGTCCCCATGGCCCCCATTGACCCGTTGACCTCCCCATGGCTCCCACTGACCCAATGAGGTCCCTATGGCCCCCGTTGACCCACAGAGCTCCCCATTGCCCCCACTGACCCATTGATCTCCCCATGGCCACCAGTGACCCATTGACCTCCCCACAGCACCCATTGACCCATTGACCTCCCCATGGCCACCATTGACCCACTGACCTCCCCATTGCCCCCACTGACCCATTGACCTCCCCACAGCACCCATTGACCCATTGACCTCCCCATGGCCACCATTGACCCACTGACCTCCCCATTGCCCCCACTGACCCATTGACCTCCCCACAGCACCCATTGACCCATTGACCTCCCCATGGCCACCATTGACCCACTGACCTCCCCATTGCCCCCACTGACCCATTGACCTCCACACAGCACCCATTGACCCATTGACCTCCCCATGGCCACCATTGACCCACTGACCTCCCCATTGCCCCCACTGACCCAACGATGTCCCCGTGGCCCCCATTGAGATATTGACCTCCCCATGGCTCCCATTGACCCAATGAGGTCCCCATGGCCCCCGTTGACGCACCGAGCTCCCCACTGCCCCTAGGACGCCCCCCATTGCCGTACCGAGCACGCCGAGCCGGTAGTTCATGGTGACGACGATGACGTTGCCGTAGGCGGCCAGGACGCTGCCGTCGAACATGTTCCCGGTGCCCTCCATGTAGGAGCCCCCATGCAGGAAGAGCATCACCGGCTTCTTCCCACTGTCCCGGATGTCTGGGGGGGGGTTGGAAGGGGGGAAGGGGGTCAAGGCCACCCCCACCATGGGGACACCATTGGGGACCCCAACCCCACCCCCTTCAATGTCACTTTGGGGACCCCCAAGCCCTTTAATGGGGGGGGGTGGGGGGCAGGGATCACAAAGTGAAGTTTGGGGGGGGGGGTGTTACCGGGGTGCCCCCCGCCCCTCCCCCGGGGCTGTTTCCATGGCAACGAGCGCCCCACGATGGGGTTGAATGAGGGGAAAGGGGGGGAGACAAGGGGGGGAGCCCCATTGATGGGGATGGGACAAGGGGGGGGACCCCGGTGGGGGAGGGGGATGGGGGGGGGGGTGACAGGGGGGGAGGCTCCAAAACGACCAAAAAACCACCCAAAAATCACCACAAAAAAACCAAAAACGCCCCCAACCCCGCCCCCGCCACGGCCAAAAGAGGCGAAAAGAACCCAAAAAAGCAGCGGAAAAGAACCAAAAACCAAAAACAAAAAAAACCAAAAACCACCACCATCCCCCCCCCAGAAAAAAAAAAAAAAAAAAAGGCGGGAAGAAAGAAAAAGGAGGGGGAGGGGCTCAAAAAAAGCAAGGAAAGACCCCAAAAACGCCGGAAAACGGGAAAACCATGCAGCAAAACTACCTGCGTCCGGGGGGGGGCCGGCGGCCGCGCCGTCCTCGCGCTTTTTGGCGAGCAAACCTGGACCAAGGGAAGAGAAGGAGGAAAAATTGGGGGGGGGGGGGAGGGGGAGGGGCGACGGGGTGGGGGAGGGGCCGGTTGAAAGAAAGAAAAAAAAAACACCACAAAAAAACCACCAAAAAACCCTCAAAAAAAGAAGGAAAAGGTGCGAAAAAAGTGGGAAAAGCCCCAAGAAACCCCCCCCAAAACGGCCCCGTTTTCCTGGCCCAAAAGGGGGGGGGAGGGGCGGGAGGAAGAAGAAAGAAATGGGCGGAGCCCGGGGGGGGAGGGGCAAGAAGGGGGGAGGGGCCCAAAAAATGGGGCCTTTGGGGGGTGGGGGGGGACGGGGGAGATGGGGGATGGGCGTTGGGATGGGTGTTGGGATAGATGGAAACCATTGGGATGAGTGTTGGGATGGATGGGATGGGCATCGGGATGGATGAGAAGTGTTGGGATAGGTGTTGGGATGGATGGGAGATGTTGGGATAGGCATTGGATGGATGGGAAGGGTTGGGATGGGCATTGGGATGGATGAGAAGTGTTGGGATGGGCATTGGGATGGATGGGAAGGGTTGGGATGGGCATCGGGATGGTTGGAAACCATTGGGATGAGTGTTGGGATGGATGGGAGGTGGTGGGATGGGCATTGGGATGGACGGGATGGGCAGTGGGGTGGATGGGAAGCATTGGGATGGGCACTGGGATGGATGGGATGGGCATTGGGATGGATGGGAGGTGTTGGGATGGGCATTGGAATGGTTGGAAACCATTGGGATGAGTGTTGGGATGGATGGGAGGGGTTGGAATGGGCACTGGGATGGATGGGAGGTGTTGGGATGGGCATTAGAATGGTTGGAAACCATTGGGATGAGTGTTGGGATGGATGGGAGGTGTTGGGATGGGCATTGGAATGGTTGGAAACCATTGGGATGAGTGTTGGGATGGATGGGAGGGGTTGGAATGGGCACTGGGATGGATGGGAGGTGTTGGGATGGGCATTAGAATGGTTGGAAACCATTGGGATGAGTGTTGGGATGGATGGGATGGGCATTGGGATGGATGAGAAGTGTTGGGATAGGCATTGGGATGGATGGGAGATGTTCAGATTGGCATTGGGATGGATGGGAAGGGTTGGGATGGGGATTGGGATGGATGGGAAGGGTTGGGATGGGCATTGGGATGGATGGGAAGGGTTGGGGTGGGCATTGGGATGGTTGGAAACCATTGGGATGAGTGTTGGGATGGATGGGAGGTGGTGGGATGGGCATTGGGATGGACGGGATGGGCAGTGGGGTGGATGGGAAGCATTGGGATGGGCACTGGGATGGATGGGATGGGCATTGGGATGGATGGGAAGCATTGGGATGGGCGTTGGGATGAGTGGGAGATGCTGGGATGCATGGCTGGAGGCCTGGAATGCGCTGCGACGGACACTGGGATGGCTGGAAGGCCTCAAGAGGGATGGATGGAGGCGTGGATGAAGGACAGAGGGATGCTGGGATGTGGGGCGGGCATCAAGGTGGACCTGGGAAGAGAGGGAGGAAGAAGGGATGGATGTTGGGATGCTTTGGAGGGATGCAGCCATGGAGACGGGATGGATGGAGCCATGGATACGGGATGGATGGAGCCATGGATAGGGGATGGATGGAGCCATGGATATGGGATGGAGCCATGGATACGGGATGGAGCCATGGATACGGGATGGAGCCATGGGTATGGGATGGAGCCATGGATACGGGATGATGGAGCCATGGATAGGGGATGGATGGAGCCATGGATACGGGATGGAGCCATGGATAGGGGATGGATGGAGCCACGGATATGGGATGGAGCCATGGATACGGGATGGATGGAGCCATGGATAGGGGATGGATGGAGCCACGGATATGGGATGGAGCCATGGATACGGGATGGATGGAGCCATGGATATGGGATGGAGCCATGGATACGGGATGGAGCCATGGATAGGGGATGGATGGAGCCACGGATATGGGATGGAGCCATGGATACGGGATGGATGGAGCCATGGATACGGGATGGATGGAGCCATGGATACAGGATGGAGCCATGGATATGGGATGGTTGGAGCCATGGATATGGGATGGATGGAGCCATGGATACGGGATGGAGGCATGGATATGGGATGGAGCCATGGATATGGGATGGATGGAGCCATGGATACGGGATGGAGCCATGGATATGGGATGGATGGAGCCATGGATACGGGATGGATGGAGCCATGGATACAGGATGGAGCCATGGATATGGGATGGTTGGAGCCATGGATATGGGATGGATGGAGCCATGGATACGGGATGGAGGCATGGATATGGGATGGAGCCATGGATATGGGATGGATGGAGCCATGGATACGGGATGGAGCCATGGACACAGGATGGATGGAGCCATGGATACGGGATGGATGGAGCCATGGATAAGGGATGGATGGAGCCATGGATATGGGATGGAGCCATGGATATGGGATGGAGCCATGGATACGGGATGGATGGAGCCATGGATACGGGATGGAGGCATGGATATGGGATGGAGCCGTGGAGACGGATGGATGGAGCCATGGATATGGGATGGAGCCATGGAGACGGGATGGATGGAGCCATGGGTATGGGATGGATGGAGCCATGGATATGGGATGGAGCCATGGATATGGGATGGAGCCATGGAGACGGGATGGAGGCATGGATATGGGATGGATGGAGCCATGGATAAGGGATGGAGGCATGGATATGGGATGGAGCCATGGAGACGGATGGATGGAGCCATGGATACGGGATGGAGCCATGGAGACGGATGGATGGAGCCCTGGGGCCAGGCAATGGACGTCGGATCAGATGCAAACAGACGGACACGGGGGGGTCCGCCCCTTCCCCTGCCCCAGTTTTGCCCAAATCTGTTGCTTTTTGCCCCAATTCCCCTTTCCTCCCCCTTCGGATTCCCGCTTTTTGCCTCATTTCCCTCCCTCCTCGGTGGGTGCAGTTGATTGGCTCCGCCCCGCCTGGCCACGCCCCTCCTCCATGGCCACGCCCACTTCTGCCATCCACCAATGGGGACGCAGGGAGGGAGCCTCAGGCAGCCACGCCCCGGGCCACACCCGCCCCAACTGTCAGCCAATCGGATGCAGCCCAAGGGCAGGCCTCGCCCAGCCCCATACCGGCCCCACCCAATTCTGGCCACGCCCACAAGACAGGACCACGCCCCCTTCTCGTTTTAAACTCCTCCCACTCCCTTTATTCCCTCAAACCCCAAACCCCACCCACCCGGTATAAGCGCCCCTCCCACCCTGCTAAGCCCCTCCCACTCCCTTTAAGCCCCTCCCACATTCCTTAGCTCCTCCCTCCCTTTAAGTCCCTCCTACCCCATTAACCCATCTCCTTTTAAGCCCCTCCCACTCCCTTTACACCCCTCCCACCCATTTAACCCCTTCTTCTCTTTAACCCCTCCCTCTCTTTAGCTCCCTCCCTCCCTTTAAGCCCTTCCCCTTTAAGCCACTCCCATCCCTTTAAACCCCTCCTTCCCTTTAAACTCCTCCCACCTTTTAAGCCCCTCCCACCCCTTTAAGCCCTTCCCTTTTAAGCCCCTCCCACCCCCTTAGACCCCTCCCTCCTTTTAACCCCTTCTCCTTTAAGCCCCTCCCACCCCTTTAAGCCCCTCCTGCCCTTTAACTCCCTCCCTCCTTTTAAGCCCCTCCCACCTCGCTTAGCTCCTCCCTCCCTTTAAGCCCTTCCCTTTTAAGGCCTTCCCACCCTCTTAAGCCCCTCCCTCCCTTTAACCCCTCCCTCCCTTTAAGCCCCTCCCTCCTTTAAGCCCCTCCCACCCTCTTAAGCCCCTCCCTGCTTTTAACCTCCTCCCTCTTTTCAATCCCCTCCCACCTCACATAGCTCCTCCCTCCCTTTAAGCTCCTCCCACCTAACTTGGCTCCTCCCTCCCTTTAAGCCCTTCCCTTTAAGCTCCTCCCACCTCACTTAGCTCCTCCCTCTCTTTAAGCCCTTCCCTTTTAAGCCCCTCCGACTCTCTTAAGCCCCTCCCTCCCTTTAAGCCCCTCCCTCCCTTTGACGCCTTCCCTTCCCTTTCCCCCCATTGACGAATTCACGAATCCCCCCATTGACGAATTCACGAATCCCCCCCATTGATGAATTCACGAGTCCCCCCATTGATGAATGAATGAGTCCCCCATTGATGCATTCACGAGTCCCCCCATTGATGAATGAACGAGTCCCCCCATTGATGAATTCACGAGTCCCCCCATTGATGAATGAACGAGTCCCCCCATTGATGAATGAACGAGTCCCCCCATTGATGCATTCACGAGTCCCCCCATTGATGAATGAACGAGTCCCCCCATTGATGCATTCACGAGTCCCCCCATTGATGAATGAACGAGTCCCCCCATTGGTGAATTCACGAGTCCCCCCATTGATGAATGAACGAGTCCCCCCATTGGTGAATTCACGAGTGCCCCCATTGATGAATTCACGAGTCCCCCCATTGATGAATGAATGAGTCCCCCCATTGATGCATTCACGAGTCCCCCCATTGATGAATTCACGAGTCCCCCCATTGATGAATTCACGAGTCCCCCCATTGATGAATTCACGAGTCCCCCACTGATGAAT